TTGAGACAGGTGTATTTCGGGCTTGGTGGTACAGTAATGCTTCATATCCTTCAGCCTTTCACAGCATTCGCTCAGCTGAAGTCTCCCTACTCTGAGGTATGTTTGGCGTGGCTCTTTGCACATGTTGGTCACAAGAGCCCTAATTTAGATCCGAAGCCCGAGGGCACCGACTGAAGGCTCAATTTTTCAATAAGCATAAAGCCGAAGCCCGAGAAGTATAGTCCTTAAGCCTTAGATACCGCGGACCTAAGCCCGAAACAATAAACCAGCAACTGCAAAGTTTTGAACCCTGCAGACCCGTAAGCTTGAACCCTCCTAAACCCCCAAAAGAACCAAAACCAAAGAACGCCCCAAACCCCAAACCCAAGAAAACCCAAACACCTCGATCCGTAAACAACACCCTAAATTTTAAATCACCCTAAACCCTAGACCCATGAGAATCTAAAAACTTTAAAACAGCATTACAGCCCAAGAGCACTAAATCCAAGAGGACCACCAAAAACCGGACTCCTTAAACCACTATAAATAAACCTGAAACGCCAGGAAAGCCAAACCCACGAAAAAACGCCCAAACAGCGTTAACCCTTCACAAACCCTCAACCTCAAAACACCTGAGAACCCCAAACCCGACACGAAACGCGTAACCTTAAAACAAACTACAACCACGAACCCCAGAAAGAAACATAACAAAAAACCCTCATCCACCAAAAAAGCCAATAACCTGAAACACAACGAAACCCAAGTAGGAGAGAACAACTCTTAAGAAGGCCTAAAAGGCCCATAATCTTCAAAACGCCCTAAAACCCTAAAGCCTGAAGAAAGCATGACACCCAACAGTGCCTGACGACCAGACCGAGGAAACGTGGGGGCTTTTCCGGTCTCAGCTGGTCACAAAAAGCACCCGGGTCGTTGAGTATTAGGGTCTTAGGGGTTTTGGAGGTTTTAGGGCTTTAGGGTCTTTCTGGTTCAGAGGTTTTAAGGTTTTAGGTGTTTTAGCTTTTGGGGTTTTTGGAAGTTGGGGTTTAGGGTCTTAGGGGATCCAGTCGGGTTTTAAGTTTAGGGGTCTTAGGGTTGTGTCGTTTTAGGGTTTCGGGTTAAAGGTTTTCGGGTTTTCGGTTTGGGGTTAGTTTGGGTTTCGGGTCTAGGGTTTCGGTGGCTGGGACTTCCGGGTTTCCGTGGGGAAGTTACGGGGGACTAGGATGTGGAGCTGGGTCGCTGAGTTATCAAACCTTTGTTTTCTGCCTAGGGATCGTGGTTTGGAGGTTTACTGGGTTGTGAGTTTAGGGTGTAGGCCCCTTCAACCTTAAACCCCAAACTTAGATTTCAAGCCCTAAACGCACGTGCAGACACCTGGGTAATGCACCCCTTGTCCGTAATTCATGAGGTTTCATAGGGATCCCAATAGTAAGGCTTTGGGGTTTTTCGTTTATCAATGCAGGGGTTTAGGTTTAGGGTTCAGGGTCTCTCTGAAACCCCGGTGCCGCTGATATACATCCTGTGAAACCCTTGTATCGCCGTTTCCTCATTGTAATTACGGTATCAACCTAAAACCCAATGCTAGTATTCAGGCCCCTCTACTAGCCTACTAGATGTCATGGAGAAGTAAGGCTGCTTGTCTGCGGTGGTTCTCCATCGGGATGCTCCTCGCTGGATTGCGGCTGTTTGGTCACAGAAGAACAAGCGAACCAGCAACCTGGGATTGTGCACTTAAAACAACTTTTCGGGATTGAGGCTGCATCGGTTAGGGTCCAGGGCCAAGTTTGCGCTATAATATATAATGTGGCGGTCGGTTTAATAGTGGGGTACCCCCCCCCCCCCCGACCAAAAAGTTTTGGTCTCTTTAATTTGGAACCGGTAGCCCCGGACAGGGGTCAGGGGTCGGTCTGAGTGGCAGGGAATTGGGAGGTGCCGGGGTTTGGAGGCTGGCTTGGGTGCAGGGTCTGCGGTTCTGCGCGACTGCGCGGTCGGGGGTCGGGGGGGTCTGGGCCAGCGCCTGAAACCCTAAACCTTGAACCCTAAACCCTAACCAATCCTAAACTCCTAGACCCTATAACAAACCCTAATTAAACCCTCAGCCGTAAACCCTTCCAAAGGGGGGTCGGTCCAGATTCGACCCAAAACTTAATTTTTTATACAAACTTTAGTACTGGAGAGGCCTCTTTTGAGCTAGGGTCCAATCCCCGATTCGGCGGTTCACCCTAGCAGCCCCCCCCAATAATCAAGGTATAGTAGAATAGTAGTACAGTAGTAGTACAGTAGTAGTATAATAATAGTGCAGTAGTACAATAGTAATACAACAGTAGTACAGTGGTAGTACAATAGTAGTACATTAGTAGTACAATAATAGTACAGTAGTACAATAGTAGCAAAATAGTAGTACAGTAGTAGTACAGTAGTAGTACGATCATAGTACCGTAGTACAATAATAGTACAGTAGTAGTACAATAATAGTGCAGTAGTACAATAGTAATACAACAGTAGTACAGGGGTAGTACAATAGTAGTACAGTAGTAGTACGATAACAGTACAGTAGTACAATAGTAGTACAGTAATCGTACAGTAGTAGTACAATAGTAGTACACACTAGTAGTACAGTAGTAGTACCACAGCAGTACAGTAGTACAGTAGTAATACAGTAATAGTACAGAAATAGTACCAATAAGCAAAGCATAAAGCCAGTGAGTACATTCCCCCCAATAAGCAAAGCATAAAGCCAGCGCCTGAAACCCTAAACCCCGAACCCTAAACCCTAAAGAATCCTACACTCCTAAACCCTATAACAAACCCTAAACCCGAAGCCCTAAACCCTTCCAAAGGGGGGTCGGTCCAGATTCGACCCAAAACTTAATTTTTTATACAAACTTTAGTACTGGAGAGGCCTCTTTTGAGCTATGGTCCAATCCCCGATTCGGCGGTTCACCCTAGCAGCCCCCCAGCCCCCCCCAATAATCAAGGTACAGTAGAATAGTAGTACAGTAGTAGTACAGTAGTAGTACAGATTTTCATTCCTGACGCCCCAATAAGCGAAACAATTCTGCAAGAGATTTTCGGGCTTCAGGGCCAGGGTTTTAGGGTTGGGTGGGGGTTTGGGTGGGGGTTTAGGTCGTGGCTGCCTTAAGATTGACCATCAGCAAATAGCACAGCCCCGCCACCAAAAAATCACCCCAGCCAAAAAAAAACGCATTAATTAGAACACCCCAAATTTTTTGTCAGATTCGGAATTAGCCCCGGAGCCGACGCATTAAAAGAGCCTATATTCCTAAACCGACCCCCACATTAGGGGCCTTAACAATTCGAATAGGGTTTTGGGTAATTATATTAAAGAGCCACCAAAAATAAAAATTTCTGGTAATTATTTCGGCCCCTATATTCGTTGTCGTTAGGTTTGGTTTTGTGATTTTTGGGGTTGATGTTCGCGGCACTGAAATCAAAGGGGAAAGGGAGGGACCGTTAATGGGGACCCCTACCCTATAATGGGCTATATAATGGGTGTATAATAGCTATATGAAGGGTATATACCTAGGGGTCCTGATTACATGAATCCTAAACCCTAAACCCTAAACCCTTTATAGAACCCTTTTTGATCCCATAAATACCCTCCTACAATTCCTAATTAAGGGTCCTTATTAAGGGTCCCTCCTTTTACCCTTGAATGAAAGGTAACCCGACGGCCTTGCCATCGGAGTTTGCCAAGCTTGGAAATCGGACGCCAGATGCTGGGTTCTTGTTCAAGAACTTAGTTTAAGATACCATAACAAGGAAACCATGTCTTTACTATAGATCCTCATTATGGTAACTTGCAGAATTTATTTTTAAGTTGCCATAATAAGGAAACCATGTTATGTACCATAGATTCCTATGATGGTAGCTTAAGTAAGGTTCCGTAACAAGATTCCAGGATGCTCATGGAGATTCTGATCCCCAGATGCAGCTGCTAAACACACTGAAGGAGAGTTTTCCACATGTGGCGGCTGCCTCTTACGACTACCTGTCTGAGGTGAACTGTAGCGTTGCTGCTTTCCTGGTATGTAGCCAGACCGCTCTCATAAGTTTGTTTTGGGTTTAGGGCTTAGGGTTCCACACAATCCTTTTCTGTAACCTTCTGCAGGGGAGCGCCGACAAGCCGAGGCAATGTCAGTCTTGGATTGACGGGCCGAGAGTGGGCGCGTTGCCGGGACTTAGCAAACGACCGTTCGACAACACGCTCGAACAAGTCTCCGCCTCATGCAGCGATTGACGTTGTGCGACTAGCTCGGACATTTTACCAGTTGCCAGGTGGGCTTTTGGGACATTTTAGATTTTCCTTTCTTGGGCCGAAGAGGATCTTTGTTCTATACGATTTTTTGTTGCAACCTATATACAGAAACCCTGTAATCCCCTATAGATCCCTAAACCCTAAAGCCCTTAAAGATCCCTAAAAAAGCCCTTAAAGAGCCCTTAGAGAAGCCCCTAAACGGTCCCTTGAAAGAGCTCTTATCGGAGGCCCTAAAAGATCCCTTTAAAGGAGCCCCTCAATGATCGCTTGAGGGAACCCTACTATAGGTTGAAGCTGGCGGCACGAAGGAGCCCAAAAGAGTGCCAGCCCTGGCCCAGCTTGAACGTCAGCAGCGCGCAGCTTTACTGCTCTTAAGAGTTATAGGGTTTAGAGGGTTTATCGGGTTTGTAGGGCTTAGAGTTTTTCTTATAATATAACTCCAAGGGATTAACAAGAGTATGATTTGGGCGGCTAAGGCAAGAGCAGAATGCTCACCCAGAGACGACCGCTACTGCCCGAAGCCGGTCTTGACAGCAAATCTTGCTGTTTTTGTACAGTACGTCCTTAACCCCACCGCAAAAAACTGCAAAATCTAGGAAACCTCAAAACTACAAACACCCGAAACCCTAAACCCTCAAAGCCAGAAAATAGCCCTAAACCCTAAACCCGCAAAGCCACAAAAAGAACCCTATAGGGTTTATAAACCCAAAACCCTCAAAGCCACAAAAAAAAAACCTAAACCCTCAAAGCCACAAAGCAGCCCTAAAGCCCAAACCCTCAAAGCCCCACAAATAATCCCTAGAGCCTCAACCCTCAAAGCCAGAAATCAGCCCTAAACCCTAACCCCTCCAAGATCATCCCAGGGAACCCACTGGCCGCCGAGTTGGCCCGGGAAATCCCCTGGAAGTGCGAACGACTGGATGGCCTGTTCCGAAGCGAGCCTGGGGCGGTTTAGGTTGGTTGGTTGGTTTAGCGTTTGGGGTTAAGGGTTTGAACTGATTCAAGCAGAGCCTCAGAGGGCTTCTGAAATCTGTAAGGGTTACTAGAAGGGTTTGAAGTCTGGGGCTTAGGTGCAACGGCCTTAAGACTTTCGATGGGGTTTTCATGCGGGCTGAGTTAAGGGACGTTTTGCTGATCATGGCTCCTTATATTGGGGTGTTATGTATAGTCTGCATTGTGGTTTCCAATTTGTTTCTTTTGCGATGTGTCGTTTGTTAGTGGATCCGTTTGGCTGATTGCCAGACTGTAGACACAGGGTTTTGGGATTAGGCTACGGTCTTCTTAGGTTCTCAGTGAGTGGCTGAAGGCTAGTGGGTTCAAAAACTAGCCAACCGACCAAAGCCGCAACCCTGAAGCCTGAACCTTGAGCGCTAAACCCTGAACCCTGCACACCCATGCGCGTTTCGCAGCATCGCGTATCGGATGTTGCCGTGGGAGAGGCCCGCATGAAACATTGATGCAACCCCCTGCCTTTTTTTGACCCCCTTCCGTTATGTCCAGGCAATTATTCCCGCGTTTTGCCCAAGCCAGGACACTCAACCCTCAACTCTAACTAAACATGGCTAACCCTAATCGCACTCTTCACGCCCTTCTAGAACTTGTACAAAACCCCACCAACCCTTTAAACCCCCGCTTGTAGCAAGCCTGCTAATCAAAGTCTTAAGCCGTCGGCTCTAAAAGCTCTAAGCCCTAAAAATCCCAAAACCCCGAGCCAAGAAGCCCCAAAGCCTTAAAACTTAAGCCATCGTTCGTAAACCCTGAAACCTTAAAATCCCAAAACCCCGAGCCCAAGCTCGGTAAGGAGACGGAGCGATGGTTCGCGACGAGCGGGGCAGAGAAGCCGAGGCTAGTCTTCGGGGTTTAGGGCAGTTTAGGGGTTTAGGCTTTGGGGGTTTAGGGGTTGAAGGGTTCAGTTGAGGGTTTAGGGGTTTAGCGGTTTAAGGGTTTAGCGGGTTTGGGCCTGAGGGTTTTAGGGTTTAAGGGTATAAGGGCTTAGGATTTTTGGGTTTCGGGTTCAGGTCAATGTCTGACATCAGGGCATATCAGGGCCTTTGTAAGTTCTTCAGTAGTCAGGACCTTCATCGGGGCTTACAGAGTGTGTAGGGTTTTCTTTTGATTCTGTTATTCATCGTTGTTTTGGGTCTTGGGCTGTGGGTGAAGGCATGTCAAGGGCTTTGTAGACGTGGCTTTCAGAAGGTGTCGCAGGGCGTTATTCCTTGCATTTTTGTATTGGGGCATACAGCATAAATTAATACATATATATATATATATGTATATATTAATATATATATATATATATATATATATACACATGTGTATACATATGTGTATACATATGCACATGTGTGTGTGTGTTTATATATATATATATATACCGCTTCTGTGCGGCTTTAGAGTGATTATAGTGGTTCTGACGGGCTGTGGACTTCTAGGGTTGTCCTGCTCGAAGTCTTGAGCTGGGGCTTGGGCTTGGGGGTGTAGAACTTATGCTTGAAGCTTTAGGGCACTTTAGGGTTTAGGGTTTAGGGCTTTGGGCTTTTACGGTCTACGGCTTTGGGCTTTTAGGGCTTTGGGCGTTTAGGGTTTAGGGCTGTGGGCTTTTCGGGTGAGGGTTTAGGGCTGTAGGGTTTAGGGCTTTAGGCTTTTAGGGTTTAGTCTCCAAGCTCCGTAGGCTTGTGGTTTAGGCTTTACACAGGTCTCCGGGGCAATCCGTTGATAGAAGCTTTGCAGAACTTACAAAATCAGAAACCTTTAACACGAACCCCTTAAAGGAACCCCAAAAAAGGAGCCCTTAGAGGACCCTCCAATGAGCCCTCAAGGCCCGCAGCCCGCAGCCCTAAATCTTTATGCCCTGGATCCTCAACTCTTGAGCGGCCCTGCGGCCCGAATTTCTTAACCTTTAATCCTCAACAGCACCCCAGGGCTCCTCGTTTCAAAAACCTACACAGACCGGCTAAAAGCCCTAGAAATACCCCAGATCAAACCAGAAACACGTAATAGAAATCCTGCATTACCTGAATGACCCCAGACTATGGGAACTACGGTATATTCCTTGTTATGGGTAATGCAGGATTGATGTCCCCAAACCTATACCCTGAAACCCTATAGATCCCTTAAAGGAACCCCTTCAATGTACCCTTATATAGACCCCTTCAAAGGAACCCCAGGATATGTATCATCAGCCCTACGGCGACCCTGAAAACCGCGCCTGACCAGGTCGAAGTCGCGACTCGGCGCTTGAACACTGGGGACCCCAAAAAGCACATAAGCATAAGCGCTTTATGGGGATATCCCTACCTTATTGGGCTTCATTATAGGGGGATTTATATGGTACCCTAATTTTTGCTTATGTGTTTTTTTGGGGCCCTAGAACAGCTTTGTCTTCCCAAAGGGGAAAAGGAGGGACCCTTAAAGGGGACCCCTACCCTGTAATGGGCTATATAATGGGGTATATAATAGCTATATTAAGGGTATATACCTAGGGGTCCTTATTAAATGAATCCTAAACCCTAAACCTTAAACCCTTTATAGAACTCTTTTTGATCCCTTAAATCCCCTACAATTCCTTATTAAGGGTCCATCCTTTTACCCAAGGAACTTCGTAGCTGAGCAGGTGACCTTTAACCTTTTGGAGTTTATTTAAGGGGTTCCTTTAAGGGCTCCATAAGGGTACTATGAGGCTTCAGGGGTAACCTTTACCTTTTTGGCGTATACATATATATATATATATATATACATATATACATATATATATATATATATGATCCCACCATAATTGAAATTGTTGGGGCTAGGTACTCAGCCCCTCAGTTATGAAGTTTACGGAGGCAGTCTTGCTTGGGGTTGAGGGTAATCGGCTTCGGGTTTCCGGCTCTAGAGTTAAATCTTAGGTGTCAGAGTTCGGGGCTTAAGGGTTTAGGGCTTTTCAGGGTTATGGGGATTTAGGGTTGAGTTTTTTTTTGGTGGGTGACGGGGGTTTAGGGTTTACGGTTGTCTGGCTTCGTTTACTGTAGAGACCTCCGAAGCTTTATGGGCATATTTCCTACATGGAGGAGAGGAGTCTTGTATTGATGATTATTCAAAGAAAGAATAGAAGGCACCATAACTCTCTGTTTCAGGCCCTTCAAGGCTTTAGGGCTTTAGGGTCTAGGGTTGAGGATTTAGGATTCAGGGGTTAAAGTTCAAGAGCAGCTGAGGAAGCCCATTTGCACGGCAGATTCCGACGCCTTCGAAGCCAAGCACTGGCGATTGATCGCAAAGTTCGGGCCAAGCTGCTAGAGAGTGAAAACTGGCCCTATTGCAGGACACGTTTCTTAACTTACTGCAGCTGTAACCATAAACCCTAAACGTTAATCTCCATTATGACGGATTCCTCAGTCCGTTACAGCACTAAACCCAAAACCCTATGCGCTAGCCTCAAGTACTGTTGACGACATCGTTGTTGGATCCAGGGGAACGGATGTTACAATGTTGGTGTCCTTCAAATCTTTATGTCCTTCAAGAAGTATAAGCATTAGCATAAGGGTGACTATAAGCCCGAAGCCCCAAAACCCTAAACACATGCACCCCTAAACTATGTCAAATAAAGGCTTCCATAACTACCTATACTATTTTGGAGCTCCTCATTCTAATTTTTTGCAGAATATACCCCAAAACCCTCTTCTAACTATTAAGGCCCCTATAGTATGACCCTCAAGATCCTCAGACACCTTTGTAGAACCCTTCCTGGAAACCCGCACCAGCCCATGTCATACCCGGCGTAATCTTACAGAACTGTCGACAAAGCCCCCCCTTGTATTTATATATCCCTACATACCTCCATAAAACGTCACACCACACAACCTTGCAGAACCTGGGATGATCTTGTGACCTCGCAGAATCCCAAATCCAAACCTACAGCCCTGAAGCCCTGGGCCGCGAAACCCTACAGCCTCGAGGGCCCCCAAACCTGAGGCCCTGAACCCTACATCCTCGCCACTACACTTAAAGCCCCACTGCCCTATAGATCCCAAACCCTAGAGCCCTGAAGCCCTCAAGCCCTTATAGCCTTATAGTGCCCTAAGCCCGAAAGCGCTAAAGCTCTTAGCCTCTAAACCCCTAACCTACACGGCCTAAGCCCCAGAGAAGCCCTCGGCGAGCAGGCGGCCCAAGCCCTTTCTCGAGAGATGCCGGGCACGCTTCTATGCCGAAGATGGGAGCATGCAGAGTTTGGGGTGCTGAGTTTAGGGTTTGGAGGCTTCGGGTGCAGGCTCTTAGCTTTCAAGAGATTGGCTTTTGTTCTCCCAACATAGATGCTCACGAGTACATCCTTATTTTGGAAGGTCTCCGAAACAGGCATACGCCAGAGCTTCGTAAGAAGAAATAGAAAGGCTGCCAGGACCCCTTTTTACCCTTACAACACCCTGTTCGACAAGCCCTTTTGAGATAAGAAGTTCCACCTGCAACCTAGTCTCCCTAATCCCTAAACCCTATAAGCTCAAGCCCTAAACCCTAAACCCGAAAACCCTGAAGCCCCAAACTCTACAACCCTAAACCGCAAACCCCAACACGGCCCAGGTCTGCCAGCGCGGTCCTGGGTTCCACAGCCAGCGATGCATGGAGGAGACCAGACTGACCAGACCATGCATTTGGGTTAGGGTTTAGGGTTTGGGGTTTAGGGTCTAGCAGCTCCGGATCGAGCAGTTTTGAAGTAGAGTTGTGTTTACAGTTTAGAAATAACACCCGCCCACCCACCCTTAGAATCCCATAACATCAATTAAGAAAATACATTTCTTTACCTTCATTTACAGCTTAAAGCTACTATCCAGCGAAGTTTAGCACACACACTAACATCGTTAACTTAAACTAAACCAAGCTTCAAACTGTTGCTGTCGATTTTTCACAGGGAAGATGCCGTCGACCTAATCGTTTTGTGCGTATACATCAAAATCATACAGAAACTACACAACAGACACATGTTCTGCGTTACCACAATAAGCGAAACATTTCACAAGTTTTCGGTTCAACCATGGGTGGCTGCCCACCAACCCTAAAGCCGAAACCTTAAACCGAAACCCTAAAGCCGATCTGTTACGGCAGTGTTTGGGGTACACTTAGGAATGGATTTGTTAGCCTATCGTTGGCGGCACTTGCTTGGGGATGGATTTGTTCACCGACGTCGTTGCACCTACACTTAGGAATGGATGTGTTAACCGATTGTTGGTGGCATTTACTTGGGAATGAACCGTTAACCGATATTTGGTTGTTTACACATACACCTTCTACCTTCGGCAACGAATGGTGTAGGGGTCTGGCCACCTGGACCCCGAAAATTGCCTTCGGCATCGAATGGTATGGGGGTCTGGGCGCACGCGCGCGCAGACTCGGGCCCGATAATTGCCTTCGGCAGTTGGGGACATTAAAGTTTAAATTAACATATGATAAAGAGGTTTAGGGGTTAGGGTTTAGGGCTATAGTGTTTAGGGTTCAGGGTTTCGGGTTTAGGGGTTGGGGTTTAGGGTTTAGGGTTTGTAAGGGTGAAGGGTTTTGGGTAGTTGTCAAAATTATGGTTCCCTTTTTGGTACTTGTCAATATTAGGTGCCGTACTATATTAAGGACCCCACAGTGACCATAATTTTGACAACCACCCATGTGTAAAGGTCATTTTGTTTTTTTTTTAGGGTGCAGGGTGGATGGCTTGGAGTCTTCGTGTGTTATACGTAAAAGGGGCTTATTAGGGCTTCTGAGTTGCGTAGGGTTTGTGAGGGTTTTATCTGCAAATGGTCCTGTCTGAGGATCTCGATGCAAAGGGTGCTACAATGGTTTACTTTGGGATGCCCTGAAACACCCAGGCCCACACAAGTATCTGAAAGACCTACCCACGAATACACCTTTAGATCTACCTGCTTCTCCCGCCTCTTTCCCTCTTTGGCTCTCGGTGTATCATGTTCATTTTGTGTTGCTTCCTTAGCGGAGGCTTGCAGTGGTTGCACAGGTCTTTTGAATCTTTAGGGCTTCAGGGCTTCGCAGGGGTTCGGGGCTTTGCAGGTCAGGACTTGTTTGCTGCATGCCTGTTCCACGACATACGTGAGGGTTGAGAGTTGAGAGGTTGGGGTGCACTCATAGTAGCGTTCTTGGTCGTGGCGCGCTTAACGCTGCAAACCAGCTGGAGACAACGGAAAGCGCACAATAGCGGCCCAGGGCCATGCATGGTTGTGTGCGTGTGCTCACGTTAGAACGGAATCGAGCCGAGACCCTAGTAGGCAGTTCAGCAAGAGCGGCCTAGCAGCATGCATGGTTTTGAGCGTGCATGTGCTCATGCTGGAACGGAAACGAGCACAGGAGTAATCCAGTAGTGCTGCTCATGTTGGAACGAAAACGAGCTCAATAGCGGCCCAAGGCCATGTATGGCTGTCTGCGCGCGTAGAACAGGTTTCAGTGACAAGGGGGATCAAAACTCACTGGACAATCTCAATAGATCCTGCAAGCTGTCCCTCACGTTTAATGACAAAGCTGGGGTTTACGCTTTAGGGTTTCTTCGGGTTTAAGAAACTGTAAGAAATTTGCCCAGATAGAATCCTAGAGCCTGCAGGAACCTAATTAAGACATGCCACTATAAGCTGGGCTTGGGGTTCGAGTGCTTATGACTTAATTCGCGTGATGAGTCCAACTAACGCAAAGCCCCGAATACTAAGACTAATCCCTCACGAGGCGCAAAGAATTCCAAATGTGAGCAGCCCCGAATCATGAGGCCCCTACAACAACACTGGCCGCGTTCGACTTGGCCTGCCGGGGCTACTCTGTCGAAAGCGTCACATTCGGCTCACCACGGGTCGGCGACGAGAACTTCAAACAAGCCTATGCTTGCAAAGTGAGGCGTGCTGCACGCTTCGTCAACAAGTTTGACCCTGCCTCTCAGCTGCAGGGCCTGCACAGGCATGCTTTTTCGAGCTTTCAATGGTGTTTGCGAAAGATCCAGGTGCCCCACGTGCCTTGGAACGGACAGGACGAGGGGACGAGCAGCGATGCCGATTCCGTGCAAAGGATCCTGGGTGAGGCGAAGGAGCTTTTTCCACGTTTGCCGAGCTACTCAGCTCTTCGGTCAAATGGTATACCTATTCGGGCTTCGAGTCCCGAAATGTTAGGTCTTTTGAAATATACTGTGCTCGCTGACGGCCATATCTCACTGGTTTCGTCCTCAGGAATCAGACAAACCTGAACCGGCCACGTTTCGGGAAATCTCAGGGCTGTCCTAAGAGCCGG